TTATAGCATAGTTTATACCAGGGGTCGCCAAACTTTTTTAATCGTTGACCCCTAACCACTTTCCAAAGCCTCACATTGACCCCCACTGTAAAGTTTTATTACAAGTGTATGTGTATGAGCAAAAAAAAAAAAAAAAATGTGGTCTCTGTATAAGCAAAAAAAAAGAGTTTGTGACCCCTTAGCCGCATCGACCCCTCATTCGACCCCCCCAGTGATGTTGCATCGACCCCTGGGGGTCGATATCGACCACTTTGGCGACCCCTGGTTTATACGGATTATTCCCAAAAAATTATACGTGTTTTGGAAATGTTGAGTCAAATTAGTTTAGAATCGATTAGTTTTATGGAATAAAACCTTTGAAACAGCCTTAGTCCATAAACTGTACACGTGCCAGGCTGTGATTGGCTCATGTATTTAAGGATTCCTACAACGCAAAATTCTTATAAAGCGGAACGTATCTACCGCGTTATGGGGGTCAACTCTACTATGATATACAAGGTCTGTCCTGAAAGTTCGCAAACTTTTTAAATTATGCACCAACCAATAACTGAATATAAATGCTGCTTGCACAACTCTTAAGTGACAAGTTTTATGTACTATCTGCCAAAAGCAGTTAGTTCTATCTTCATTTGTTGTTGTGTTATGTTCATTTGTATAAAAACATGTGTTGATTGTGTTTTGCAATTTTCTTTCAGTGAGTACAAGTGAATGAAGAGCTTCTGGAACAGGCTAGATCTGATGAAAATTTCATGAAAAGCATAATCACTGGGGATGAGACATGGGTCTATTGGTATGACATGGAAATAAAACATCAGTCATCAGAATGGGTGGGAAAATCTCCGCCACAACAAGTTCAGTCAAACAGAAAGGTCTTGATCACTGTTTTGCTCAATTCTGAAAATTTAATCCACCATGAATACTACCTAAAGGTGATAAAACATCTTTGTGAAGCAGCAAGGATAAAAAGACCAACTGCTTGGAGATAACAGCATCATAACAATGCACCTGACCACACAACACTGCTGATAACAGAATTTTTGTTCAAAAACTCAATACTACTTGTTTCCCAACCTCCATATTCACTGGATTAATCTTTCAGCAGTGGGATAGTCAGGTATGGTGCTACTCCAAAGTAGTGGAGAATAAACGTGGGAAATTTTTAAAGTATTTTTCCATGCATTTTTTCTCATTATCATTTCAGAAAAAGATTTTGTAAACAGTTATGTCTAGTACAGAAAAGTCTTTTTTTATTGTTACATAATTCATTTTTTATGTGAATTTTTTTTTGCGGTAATTTTTGGCTAGTTTTTGGAGACACTCCCAAAAGAATTTAATGGATATATCCATCCTTCAACTGTTGAGTGGTTAAACCCCATAGACTTATTTTTGTTTCCCAAATTAAAATCCACTCTCAAAAGTCACTATTTTGAATCCATTGACACTTTAAGAAAAATTTGCTAGCAGAGCTGTGCATCATCCCAAAAGAAGCATTTTACAAAGTGTTCTTCTCGTGGCAAAAATGCTGGATTCAGTGCTTAAACTCAAGAGAGAACTACTTTAAAGATGATAAAACTGATAGGCTTCTATGTAAATGCAATCAACTTTTATGTGCAAACTTTCTGAACAGACCTGGTATATCAAACTCAGTGAAACTGGAAAGGCCATCCCTGATAAGAGTTACTTTCTTCATTATTTGAAAGAACTTTTTTCATCTGTGTAGCTCCGTTTGTGAGACTAAGGAAAGATGGACAGACTGACAACAGTGAGAATTTATAGATCTAATTTTTTCAAATTGCAGCCCAATGAAGTCCTTTGGTTTGGTACCAACTCAATTTATTGCAATTTCAGAGCAAACAAACAGTGGCATTATATTTAGATTTGACTATATATTGTAACAGAACTTAAAATTTATTTATTATTTCAAGATTTAATAAGACATTTTTACTTTATTTATAGTTTAAATTTGATCAAATTATAATTTATCCATAAAAATTAGAACTGTTAATTTACCAGTCATAAATATATTTCACATGCTTTATTAGTAGTAATAGTTTTAATAGCTGTCCTAGGCAATGCTTATTTTATCTTAAGAAAACATCTAACAGGTTCAAAAATTACATGTGCTTTTGTTGTTTGGAACTACCTTATACATGTTGAATACTTGCTTCCACTGTTCCATTGCAGTGTTGACAAATTTTGTCACTTTTCTTTTGATCCTCTCTTATGTAAATAAAACAAAATTTATTTTATTATTTTTCTATAGATCTGTTCTGTCATATTTTACAGAAATATTTGCATAAATTTGCATACCTTTATGCAGTACTGTCATATACAAGAAAATAAAATTTGTTCATTCGAAAGATTACGAATAGGATATAATTCCATATATGCTATGCAGTATTATTATCCAGATGATTGCTGATCTAAACTAAATTCATAGGCTGTTGATAGTTTGGGGGTCATCTTATAGGACAGATATATGCTTAAACTATAAAACTTTTGACAAAATTTTATACCTCGTCTTATCTGAAGGTTGTCTTATCTGCACAGATATACGGTAAATGTAATGCCACTGTTTGTTTGCTCTGAAATTACAATAAATTGAGTTGGTACCAAACCAAAGGACTTCATTGGGCTACAATTTGAAAAAATTGTAATCTATAAATTCCCACTGTTGCTATCTGTCCATCATTCCTTAGTCTCACAAACAGTTACACAAATGAAAGACAAGACCATATATGGAAAGCTAATGGGCAGGAGGCCCCGATTAACTATATACAAGCTTCCAATGCAAATCAGAAGTCACATTATTTCAATTCAAAAATTTTCCCCTGAAAGGAGTTAGATAGATGTCTGGCATGATTCTATTCAAACAGGAAAAGTATGATGTACAGGGGCAAGACACTACTAATTTGAGGTAAACAGCATATATTTTAAATTAAATAAAATTAAAAATTGAAGCCTGGCATTGTTACTTATTAATTTTTGTTTGAGATCCATGTCTATGCTTAAAATTCGAATTGCACATAATTTGGTGATAAAAATGTCCTTTTCAATACAAAATTCTACACTTATAAATTCAGATATAACAGAGGAAATTATAATAGGTAATAGAAAATTTTGTTCATGCATTTCATTAGAATGAATAGTCACTGATGAGGGTGGTGTTACATAAAAGAATGTACATCAAGGTTTGACTGTATTTAAGTTATGAATATTCTTTTATATGTGAATTCTTATAACTAAATATTTTTCAAATATTCATATTTGTGTATAATGGAAAAAGTAAATAATGTACTGTTTTTAATATCAGTTTGTAATGGCATTAACAAAAAAATTTAACTAAAAAATTTATTTCAAAAAATTTATCATCCAAAAGAAGAAACTTTTACAAATATTTTTCTTTTGATATTGTATTATATATAAAATAGGATCATTAAAAATAAATACAGTAGTACCTCATACTTCAAATGTTCCAGAGTTTGAACTATGATTCTATGTTTGAATTGCATGCACAGTGAAAAACATGCAATCTGTTGTGCATCCAAGTTCTCTCTCACTCTCAATGTGAAAGCATCTCTTGAATTACACTTGTTTGTTTTCAGTGCTTTTTTCATTTTATTTTTGGTGTATTTGGTTACATAACCCCTACCTATTAACCATGATGTGAGGTCCAAACAGAAATCAAAATTTTATGTGAATGATGATAAATATCAGGCAGGAGAGTTAAACTTGCACCTTTTGAAATTAAAATCCAAAGCTAGAGTTAAGGTCTCCTGAAAACAATAAAAGTTCTTTCTGTCAAAAAAGAATACAAAAAGCTTGAATTACAAAGAAGAATTTAAAAGTTCAGATGAATTTCAGCTGATCGGGATCAGGTTAAGTGTTGATAATGACCTCTCCCATTCCCTGAAAAGTTTTGAATTGTCACTGGAAGAGGAGAAAAAAAACCAATCAGAATGCAGAATAGAAAAGAGAAATCTTTTAAAAACTTGTGTTTCAAGGATGTTCCGTTCCTTTTCTCCTAGAGCTGATTGCCCTCTAAAATTTGTTCTTTCTCCCAGATCCATTCCTTCTCCAAGAGTGTCTCTCTCTCTCTCCAAGATCTGTTATATCCAAGCTTAACAATGAGCCCCAGGGCTGTCAATCCTGCAGAAGGCCATCAACGAGGGACCAAGTGTAGACATTCAACATAACATTCAAAATTTTACTGGACTCTCCTCTTAAAAAGAAATATCAAAGGAGAATTGTAATAACAAGAATATAGAAAATTTTGTAAGAATATTTTTATATTTTATTAAACAGGAAAAAAGAATGGTAAGCTTGTCTCAGTGTGTATATCACACCCATGTACAACTGTCTCAACCCCTTGACTGTCCTGACAAGCACACACAGTCGGAAAACTTTACAATGGCATTCACAAAGAATGAGGAAGTAAAAAAGCCTAAATGGAAAACTGAGATGAAAGAGGAACTTATCATCAAGCATGAAAGTGGTACACATGGAGGTCTAGTGGTCATGTTTAAGATTTAAAGTCAACATTGTGCAACCAGTAAATGAAATTTTCATTTTATTACATAGTATTCACATGTTTTAATTATTGTTTTCATGTTTTGATTTATTATTTAGGGCATTTAATTATGTTATTTTTACCTTAAATTATATGTATTTTGTGTTTAAATTTATCACAATTGATACTGTTTCTGGAAACAGATTAATACACTTTCCATTATTTCTAACAGGAAAATGATTCAGGCTTCAAACAATTCAAAGTTCAAACAGATTCCTGAAACAAATTAAATTTGAAGTATGAGATATCACTGTAATTAATGAATAATATTTTTCAAAATTACCATACTGAAATTCATAGAACAATAGATTTACTGTTTTATATTTATTTTTATGCTAATTTTTTATTATTATATTAATTTTTATATTATTTTTATGCTAATTTTTTATTTTTATTTTGATGCTAAAATAGTTTTAAATTATTTACTTACCAAAATTGCATCTCTGATGTTCTTTTTGATGTCTTCAATTTTTTGCCTTTTTTCTCTGAAAGATAAAATTTAATTACATAGAAACATTCAATAATAAAGTTTTTAATATCTGTAATGATTATAATTTAAATTATTATAAAAATAAAACAATCAAGATAACACGGAGGACTCTTAAAAATGGATTCTAATAATGGGGATGGCCTTCTGCAGGATTGACAGCCCTGGAGCTCATTGTTAAGCTTGAATATAACAGATCTTGGATAGAGAGACACTCTTGGAGAAGGAATGGATCTGGGACAACTGAGTAGATGAATATCTAATTTATATTAATTTTTGCAAAAAATTTAAGGGACCAAAGTATTTTCCATTAATGATAGGTTTGACTGTATAAAATTATACACCATTACAAAATAAACATAATATATAACGGAAATGGTTAACATAAATAACAAAATTAAAATACACAAAAATAATTGATAAGAATATAAAGAAAATTTAAATACTGGAGCCCCTTCTCTAGTATGTTATTGTCACATAATTGTATGGCCTACAATTTTAGCAAATTGAATAGCATAACCCATAGCTCTGGAATATCAAGTTTGGGAGAGTTGCATAGGAACATTGATGTAATAAACAAACACTCTCAAATGAACAAAAGTCCTCTATCCCCACAGTGTTTTTCCAGCAAAAATTGTGACCAGAGGATCAAAGTTATATTCCATTAATTTTTTTTGCTAGCTCTGTTGAACATCTCCCATGTGTAATATCTTCACAATGCTCTGATAGATAGACATGGAGCATACTGGTAATGACACCTATATATAATAGATTTTACCCAGTTAGTGGATTTTCTCAAAGGTATAGCATAAACTCCACTTTTCAAAAAGTGTAACCCATCTCTACCATTGCAAATTATCCTAGGTAATGTGGGTTGGGGAGCTAGTGGTAGTATATACCAGTAATTTTCTAAAGGCTTGGCATTTACATAGCTATGGGTTGTGCTGTTCAACTTGCTAAAATTGAAGTTATGTGACAAGAACATACTGGTGACAAGGAGGCTCGTGTTTAAATTTTCTTTATATTCTTATCAATTATTTCTGTGTATTTTAATTCTGTTATTTTTGTTAACCATTGCCAATATATATTACATTTATTTTATAATGGTTTAATTTTGTATTTTTAAATTTTTATGTTCTATGCTCGTGCACAAAGAGCAATTTCAAAATGTGTTCTTTCTCTAGATTTATAATATTCCATCTGCCATATTACTTTAAGAAGAAGGTTACATACCATCAAAGTCCTCATACTTGTTATTTAAACATATTCACCATTAACACCAACAGACAGTTTTTATGTTTTTCATTGATTTTAGTAATAAGTGGCATCCCTCATAGTTATTATCTCTTTACATCAAGCATATTGTAATGTAGTTCTATATATTATAGTATTATAGAAATTATATATAACAGTTATATAAAAAACATGAAAATGTACATTAGAACTGAAAGTATATGCTTAATATCATACAAAACATTACTGTATTCATAGAAAAAGTGTTTTCAAATAAAAACATTTTTTAAGTTATTTGTGTTTGATCTTTTAACAATTTAAATTGAACCTGAATGGAAAAATACAAAGACCAAAGGGGTCAAATTTTCAAAAAATGTGTTGTAGAAATTCATGGACATACACAAAGATTCCCAACAGGTTTGGCCCCTACAGTGTTTTTAAGTACTAGCATGTTCATCTCCTAAAATTGAAATACAGGCAGTTCTTGAATTACTTTATTTTTTTCCATAAACAAGATTTACAATAAAATACTCATATTGAGATACAGAAATTGTAAATTATTTTTTTCTGCTTTTGAGTAAAATGAAAAGCAGATGATCTAGAATGATTGGTGTAATGAGCAGAGAGCTTTTTCCACATAGAAGTTGACCCAAGGAAACTTGGTTCTTTGTTCTAATTAACCAAGTTTAATAAATATACTTTAAATTAATATTGTTAATAAAGACTTTTCTCCAGTACTTGATTGCTTGCTGTTCTCTCAATTGGTTGTATGTTTCTTGGAACCAAGCATAAAATTGCTATTGAGAACTTATCATACAGGAACACTCCTCTTGATGGAAAAAGTAGCTATTTTCACAAATTTTTACAAAGGATATGCATTTTGGTCCATATGCCCACTTCAGTCCTAAAAATATATAACTAATGGTGACTACTGGAATAACTTATTGTTAAAAACATGGAGTAAAACAAGTAAATCTAAAATAAAAATAAAAATTTTTGTTAAAATGTAGAAAAAATTGACAAATAAAAGGAGTAAAAACAAACTTTAAAACCAATAAAAACTGGTTAAAAGACAATGACATGCAAGTTAAGGTGGGTTGCAAAAATATATGGCCACACCAACTTTTTGAAATAATAAATTTTTATCACATTTTAATAAAAATCTAGTGACAGGAATAAATGTAGATGTAAAAGAATTACTTATTCTATTTACTAGGTTGACAAGAAAATAAAAATTATATGGGAAATAACAACAGGAACATCATTAGGTGAAATAGCAGAAAGGTCTGATGCTAAAGTTCCCAAATCCACACTTTCCCAGATGATAAAATCAACACAACATTTGTTTATAAAAATAGAAAAGCAGCACCATATCTAAAACAACAAAACCAACAAAAAAACTGATATGGGCTAAAGATGAAATGTCATGGATTTCAAAATGATATAAAGTTATTTAGACTGATAAAAAAGTGTTCAATTTGGAAGATCCCAACAGTTGGAAATTTTATTGGCACAATCTTAGGAAAGAGTTTTTGTTTACTAAGCATCAGCAAGGAGGAAACTCAGTCATGATCTAGGGAGGTTTTGGTGGTCTTGAACAATTTAGCATTCATAAATGGCTGAATGAAGGAGGTTGAGTATCAAAATCCCTTGGATACATATCTTCTGCAATTTGGAGGAAAAAAGTGGTCCATTCTGGCAATTGCAACAAGATAATGCACCAATCCACGTTGCAAATTTCACTTATCACTAGTTATAGGATAATTCATTCAAGTCATGGTTTGGCCTCCCTATTTCCATGATTTGAATTCTGTAGAAAATCTATGGAGTTTAATAGTGAAGGATATGTAAGCAGGAGAAAACAATACCATAATATCGAACAACTCAAAGCTACAATTATAATTGCATGGGAAAAATTCAATTTAAATATGCTGCAAAATCTTGTCAACTATGTAAGATAGAGTTTACAAGGTTATTTTTAAAAATAGTGGTTTCACTTGCTATTAAATGCCACTGGCCTTACATTTTTGCAATACCATTATTTTTGAATAAAAACATTATATTTTCATTTTTATTTTTGATTGTAAATAGAATAGGTAATTCTTTTACATCTACATTTATTCCTGTCACTAATTTTTTGTGTAAGTGTAATAAAAATTTATTATTTCAAAAAATTGGGTAGCCTTAAATTTTTGCAACGAAACCTTACAAGAGGAATTTGAGAGGATATCATCATTGATTTCAATAAAATTTTGTGGATGTGTAGTATTTACTCATATTTAAATTCTACCAAAGCCACATGACCCACTCAGCCACATTCAGGCATTCTCGACAAAATCACGATTGAAGTTTTTCTAGAACTATTAATACCCATGCAGAAGTGCTGTTCACACATTCATGGTATGGCATGATTAGTTAAGGTGTTGTGTGAAGAGCATTAATATGAGGTTTGAATGCCATAGAAGATAATTTTTTTTTACATTTATAATTTAATCTTATTATTGTTAAATTTATTATGTATAGTTTTTAGTTATCAAATATTCATTTTTTTTAATCACTCCATATTTAGAAAATACCTATAACATTATAATCACATTTTACCAAAGATGACAGCTAGGATTCTCTCTTTTCATTTGCCAGTGACTCCATTGATAGATATAAATAAAACCATTAAGCACGCCAGACAAATTTTTATAGAAGATAGTTTTGCTTATACTGTATTTGGTTTGTGAGATATGGATATTTCTATGGCACCAATGAGCATTAGTGTGGTATTAATACACTAATTCACAACCAGTTTTTTGTGACATTTTAATCTCAAATAACATGTGACAGAAATATTTTCAAAAACATTAATGAAGTTTGTTTTCCACCCTCTGTTATTAAAACAAAATGTAAAGATTGTTCAAATGAAGTAGCAATGATTATTTGTGCATGGTGCACCGAACCATTATGTTTTAACTGTTTTTATGATAAATATCACCAAAATGTTGTCATATTATTGTGAAACAGTAATTGTAAGTATTTCATCTGTAAGTATTTATTGCATGTATATTTTGTGTGCCAAAAACTTTAAATTGTTGAAAAATAATTTTTGAATTTCCTGATTTTTTTTATAAAGAATAATAAATTTAAAATTCAATAATTAAAAATGACATAAAAACTGAACATAATAAATTCAATAACAATAAAATTAAATTATACATGTAGAAAACAAAATTTTTCTCATATAAGATTTGAACCTGCACATTAATGCTCTACACACACCACCTTAACTAATTTACTCATACTTAAAGAATTTAAGTATGAGCAAATACTACACATCCACAAAATTTTGTCGAAATCAGTGATGACAACCTCCCAGGTTCCCCTTGTTAGTAATGTTTTGAGCATTAGTACAAAGAGCAATAACACACACTATAAAGGAAGAGGATAGAAATACAGAATTTATGAAGATTATGACATCATCACTGGAATATGATTTTCCTAAAGGGATAATAGAAGTCAATTACCACATTGCTATATAAATACAAAAAACAAGAAAGACATAAGGTTAAACAAAAAAGACAAGAAAGACATAATGTTAAACAAAGCATCATCATAATTACAGGAAAGTCAGTAGCTACACAATAATAATAAAGACAGATTATACAATAGGGATCTGAATAAGGTCTTCAATTATGAAATGAGCAATTATTTATTGTGACATCATCATAATGCCGATCTGCAATTTTTAATCATATTTTTAATTTATAATATATGCTC